CCTAACAGTTTACCCTCAATTTCTAACTTAGCACGTGCTACTTATGTTACTGGAACACAATTGCATTACAACAGAATGAAGACAGATTCATTGAAAAATTGTTTATTAAACAAAATCAGATTTCAAATGTACAGATAATTCAGATGCGTAGTCCTATGTTACCGTCAGTAAGTTCCATCTGCGTACGCGGCACATATATGGTTTTCCATAAGTCTGAAAAGGTTTAAGAAAAGCATAATTAACTTGGGTATTACATGTATGATCTGAATAAGAAGATTTTCCTGATAAGCATTTACAAGTAATCACTTTACAAACAATATAATATATATATGTATATATAAGTAGCCCAATAGTTTTCACTAAACTTAAGGGACTACGCAACTTATCGTTTGTCGATATCTAGTAGGTCCATCGAAGCATCATGAAATGATAAAATTATCTAACGACAAGTTATGCAGTAGTTTTCAAAGCTTGTACAAATATTTTAGCAAAAATGACAACCACTTTATGACAAATAATAGGTCTTGACAGCAATAATAATGACAATCATGTTCATAGTGACTATAAAAACAATAACATATTATTATGGCAACGAATTCATCATTAACTTAGATAGACAACTAATAATAATACAATCATATCAAATAAATGTATCACTTAATCTTAAGAAGCATGTGTTTACTTACTTTCACTGTATTCTCTCAATACTGATGTGCTCAACAAGCTTATTCCAACTGAATTTAAGATTAATTCTGAAAGTGAGTGAAGATCCAGCTTGTGTCAAATAAAAACATGTAACTTACATGTATTACACTGCTTACTGAGACACCTGATACCTGCTTTCCTATCTTCATGACAAGAACACAGATTATCTAGGTTTACTTACATATATGTATATATACATAAGTATACCCAGTCGGTTACTTTTTTTGTGGACCTGGGATATGTGGGTAAAAACGTGGGTAGTTTTCCGTTTAAATGTGGGCAAAATGGGATAAGGTGGGCTGTTTTCGTTTGTAACATGGGCAAAGTGGGAATAAGTGGGCTGTTTTCTAAAATGACATGGGCAAACGGGGAAAAAGTGGGCATATTTTGAATTCCTGCACATGGGATAAATGGGTAAAAACGTGGGTTACGTGGGAAAACTGGGAAAAGGTGGGACAAACAAATTTTATCTGGACATGGGAAAACGTAACGTATATGCTGCATCAACCATGCCGTTTTTATCATGATTAGCCAGACCACCGTGTATATTATACTTATTTAAGGATCTCTGAAAATAATGGTCAAGCGATAATTGAAGTTGCGTGAAGTTATTACCTCTTCAAGACATTGTTTGCATTCTTGACACTCCTGAGAAGTCCTTAGATTGTAATTTGGCATGAATTCGTTGAATTCAGCAAATAAATCTACTGCTATATCATCTCTTTCCTGAGCTGTAATAATTTGTGTTGTCAGTTATCTCTCCAATTTGATAAAACGCTCACGGAAATTCAGGACCTAACGAAGCAGCAGAATGATGTTTGAAATTACCTCAACTCGAATGACAAACTGGCCAATCACAAGCGAGCAAATCGCTTGTTTATCTCATTCGCGGTCACTCAAAATTACGTCCGTCGACAGGCTGCCTGAGTCTTCCGTACGTTCATTGGTTCGCTCTCTTGTTGTGCTCTCTTTCTGCACACTCTCCGAGCCTACCTCCAGCAACGTCTGCAGATAAGTTGTACAGTCACTTTATTTATTAAATCTGTTATTCAGTTACGTTAAATACAACTCATACTAAGAATTCTTTCCATTTTTAGCCTTTAAACTTTGATTGAGTTAATCAGTACTTACACGTTAGGTAGAGTACTGGTAAAGTCATAAGACGGTGAAGTTTTTAGTAAGTGTGGTGATATCGAGGACTATCTTAAGCCTAGTTCCAACACTTACATATGTACAGGATATGGTGTAACTTCTCCATTGACATTCCCATGCTAAACTGGGAGAGGTTTCTCCCACATGTTCCAGAAAGATATCCCATGTGACTTCTTTATTCTCTATTTTATGCTTTTTTTCTATAAGTATACATTTCCATTCATCATATATGCCTCTTCAATGTGATTGGCCCATTCAAGGTCGTTTGCTGATGGGTTGTTAGTGGTGTCTAAAGTTTAACTTTGCCGATTACATCCTGAATAGGACGAAACACGTGTCATAAATTCCAGTGCGCGGAACCAGACTGAGTTTCTACATAGAACTGCAGAGCAAATAAGACTAACACGCTCACAATAGCACACAAAGATAGAGGAAAGTAAAATTCAAAACTACCGCAATGAACAGAAATCCACACGTGAAATTACATATGAGCTTAATGTCCAGACAGATTACATTTTTCGATTGGGTCATGTGAATCAGTCTCTAATTATGAGTTTACCTGGTACAATAACTTTATGCTCCTATAGTTATGAGTTACTGAGTGTAACAGATGATGGGTTATGAGCAAACCTCTTTATCTGGTTCGTGACTCACAACTCAAGGTTTTAATCAGAGGTTCAACATCATGCAGCAAGTTACAAGTAACCAACAAGATTAAGCTATTAAATAGGCAACTTATTTACCCATAAAATGGTATTTACTTGTAAACGGTAAGACTTACAAACAAACCCAAAGCCTGTGTAGACTACTGCCAAATAGTAATAATAGGTTTGGTAAAAATCCTTTAAAATAATGAGAGATGATTTGTGAGGATACCGCAGACTCACCACTTCCTTTCCTTCGCATTTCATGATCAGGATACGATTTGGTCCTGTTAGGCTAATCACACTTAATCTACACTGAGTAAACTACTACACAGAGGCTTTGAAAATGCTAGGAAGCATTGTTCCTGCACTGAATTCTTCAAAAACTCAGTTGTACATATGTAAACCTAATGAAGTACTTACAAATTTTTCCACTTTATAGTTCTTAGAATTCTGATTCCTTTCCGATCACTTACTTAATACAGATGTTTGAAACGCCCTTTCCTAACGCAGTTTCGCTGCATATCCCTAACCGACATATAAAAAAGCAAGCGTATTACTAATAGAATCAATCTATCAGATAGTTGGAGGCGGTCAACAGAAAGCCTCCAACCTAGGTTTCGTAGTAGTTGGCACTCGTCAGCAAGATGTAGCTGCAGCCTTGAAAGAACTCATGTTCCTCCCGAGACTCGAACCCGTGTCACCGGGTGCTGCAGCCAGAGACGTTACCACTGAGCTATTTGGGCACGGATTGACCTCCTGTACAATTGTATTGGACATTAGTTTAATGTGTCTAGTCCTGTGTTTGGTGAGCGATGAATTCTATCAGTCCAGAAAAATCAGTCTGCACCAAATAAAGGAGAAGACAGGTTACACTAGTTAATCACTAGTGTCCAATCAAAGAATCAATCTGTGTAGTTTTAAATGCATGTTGTGGTGTTCATACGTCTTGTGGAAGTTAAAAACGTCATCGTTAAATTCACCGCTTGTAGGACACTAAGACTATTTCTTACAGATCATTTTTCCATGAGTTTTGAAAATTTCATGAATTATAACAACATTCAGTTTTTCTATGGGAACTGTGACAAATCGTTACTTATACCATGTATGTTCATGAGGTTTCAGTACATCGTTGGCTCATTTCTTTCACTTTAATTTTCAACATAGAAGATTATAAGAAAATGCAGCAGCTCAAGTAACCACAATTCATAAAATGCACATAATGGTAGGTAAAGGGAAAAATTGCAAAGGAATCATTATAAACAGTAGGGAATGGGAAAAAGAATAATTACATAGAGGGCATAGAGAATTTGATGGATTTGGAAGTTCATAAAAAGTGAATACATCTGCGCCTGCGAGAATGATTTTGAGCCCTATCATCAATAGTCATGGCTATTGGGTCGATAGAATCTCGAAGATCCCAACTAGGTACTCAACATCTTCCGATGTGGTATTTGCATTGAGTCACTTCTATTGTATGTGTTAGGTGTAGACTCGATGCACTAGGATTCAGTAATCAATCTGTCTCTCCACCTACCTATATTACTTTTCAGAATTTTGACTCTGTCCCACCCTGTTGTATGGTTGTGTGTTAATGCATGCAGTGCTGTTGCTGTGGTTTTTTTCTCTAAATTACTTATCTTCGTGGGATGAATCATTCTAACCTTAGCTAAATTCTTATGTTCTCATAACCTTACTACTCCTTATCCACTAGTATGACCTATGTAGTTGACTTAACGCATAGTCATTGCAAGTTATTTTAATTATATTATTCTACTCATGCATATAAATAAAGCAAGAAAGTTGTGTGAGCAGTGCCTTGAGATGATTATGAGCGGCAATAAATTGTGTTCGAAACGTCATCAGTAAATATTACTGTAGAACACTGTGTGATTTTATCGAAATAAAATTTTATCCATAATGGAGTTATACACTACCGCTAATCCTATTTTCTAGATAACATTACTCGTCGGGGGAGGCAGTAGGTCAGTATGTGTAACACGTATCCTAGCCATCTCAATTGATACAGCTTTACAAACTCATCAAGTGACTTTCACTCCTTATCTAACACTCTACGCCTAAACTATATAAAATAAGACTTACTTGTAATAACATGTCCTAAACTGATTTCTACTAAAAGTTCTTCAGACAGTAATAGGAACAACAAATTACGCTCATAAAATCAACGCCAAGTTATGTGAGTGACGGTTTCTGAAGTCTAGAAGCAATTCAACATCTCACTAAACGCATATCAAACAATCAGTGTGTGGTAGAACAGAACTAAAAAAACAATAAGTGACTGATTTATGAAGCCTGTAAATGCAGGTTTTGAGGCAAATCATAAACTTATACAAACTAACGAAAGTTATTCACTGAAAAAACAAAAACAAGACTGGATCTAAAGTGAAGTGGAATAAAAATAACAGGCAGAAATCGCACTATGAAAAATAAAGTTTGTATACATTTTTATGTATACATATATATAATTACAAAAAAAGGTTATTCCATAATTTCTGATGTACCCATACGATGGGTGTCATGATGCATTGTCTTCGGATAAGAACGTCGAGATGGTAGTGCCATACGTCCTTTGCCTTGTGTATTGCTTGGACCCAAATACGGTAGAAAAGGTGTATCATTATCGCTTCTGGTTCGAAAGAATGGCTGAAAATAGATGTATATTATTTAGAAAATCGTATAGTAAGAAGAATGAATTTACTGACCAGATATTATACTACTATGAGAACATGTGAAGAGTATCATTAGTGTATGATAGCCATCTTAAACAAGAGTGAAGAAATATATTACCTGTGATCTAAAAACCATTACATTTAAAACGGAGAAAAAAAATGAAATATTACTTAACAATCACTTGCGATCTTTAAGTGCTGACACAATGGAAGCAATGGTTTGATAAGGAGAAAAGTGGTCACGCTTGTTAAGTGAACACTTATCTATCTAACAAACAATTTTGGTCTTATCAAATTTCGAACCCTTACCGACACAATTGAAGTAAGGACTACGCGGTGGTGGTCGAAACAAAACATGGCTTCATCAGTCAGTGAAATCCATAACAGTAAGTTTAACCCAGTCACGTCGGGAGATGTAGACTTCCTGGTTGGGGTCCTCGGCATGGTAAGAACCAATGACGGCTAGAGACAGCTGGTGATATGGGTCAAAATACTTCTCAATGGCACAGATACATTCATTCTTTTTGATTTACAATATTCAATAAAATTCTACTGTTTTTTGCACTACTATTTTGTTTGACTCATAACTCTGTTTTGAATCAATTTTTACTCTTTTCTCTTGCTTTGTGTGCTAAGTGAAGTGTGGCAACTGGAACTGCTGCACATCTGTGCAAAGTTCCACGTTGAAACCAGATAGTCAGTCAGTCACTCAAGAATCATACGATTTCTTTCTGTTTATCCCTTCTGAGTAACCGTATCATTTATGTCACACAGACACACACTTCCCTATTACTCAATAATAGACTGATAGATGTTGCGTAGTGAATATAAATACAATTGCATTGTCTTTAAACATGATTGAAATATCGATAACCACCATACATTCCACACATTAATAAGGGGCCATAGATGATAAACTACTTGAGAAATATAAATTCAAGTCTAAATGGAAACTCAATGTACAGAAATTGTCAGAGTACTGAATCGTGTCAGGTATCTCTGAAATGCGACACAAGACCCAATGAACTGAAAACTATTACGGAAACCTTCGCATTGTTTAAATAAACAGAAGATTAATGCGCTATGCTTTGAATCAGACTAACTCAAAAAAACCTTAAACAACTGAAATGTCAGTCGCAAAATATAGAGGTTTATACAAAAACAGAATACTTTTAGGACATACTTGTTCTAAAAAGAAGCAATTAGGTAGATTTACATTGCCACGCAGGATTCCTGTTACTTTTAATAATTTATCCTGAGGAACACCAGTTGTTAAATAAATTACACGAGCACTGGGATCAATAGCACGACAAATAGCTGGGGAAAAAATAAGATTGAATGACATAGGACACAAATAGTTGGATTAACAGTGGATTAAGGTTAAATAATTTTAATAACAAAAGAATTAGCAAACATAGGGTGAATTCAATAATGACAATCACATTTTTGTTATTTATTTATATCAGCCATAATGACAGTACATTTCTAATAATCGCACAAAATAGAATTATTTTTGACAGTTTTTCAGTTATTTTCTCACCTTAGTCACTCGTTTTTTTCCTCGCTTTGATTTCTCAGTGGAACATAGGACTTTAAAATTTAAATTTCCATTAGTGGTGTTGTTTCATACGATGTCGTTGCTAGCCTCACGTTCACACTTCCCATTTTACTGGGCTTATTATAGGTTACAAACTATGCAGGGTTCAAGAGGTCACTAGCCAGGAATTGCACCCATACCATGCACGTGGCTGGCGAACTCTCTACTCCTAAAAACTACCGATGCACTCATCTGAGTTACCAAAATAATGAAAATCGGAATGCGAAAAAATGCATGAATGTAGAAATTCAAAGTAAGGTTTTTCACAGATTCGAGGCCAAGTAGTTTTGTTTGAATTTAGTTTTTACAGCAGACCCTACCTATTCCAGGCTACGGGTCAATCTGTTGTATGGGGGGCTGATAATACTACCCACTCGCTCACTCTCAAATACGTAGGACAGAATTCAAACCTCGGACGCACAAGGTGAGAGGCAAATGGATTGTGCCAGTGAGTCACGTCACTATTCAAGACTAAGTTCTAGTAAAAGTGTTCAGCACATTATATATATATATATATATATATATATATATATATATAGTATTCAGTTTGTCAAGCATAGCGTAATAAACCAGTTTGAAGTAATGTTCACATCGGAACACTAACGACTAATCAAAATTTAACTAAGGGTGTGAAGATTCGTGAACTTAGATCGCAGGTTGAGTAATGTGAAGGAACTATTTAGAAAATTGAACGCGTTAATCAGAAGAGCATAGAAGCAGGCACAAAAATATATTACGTAGCGGAAGAACGGAGTAAAATTCTTAGTTAAGATGATGCTAACAACCACAATACCAAAGAATACAAGACAGGATACTGATAACAATTGGGCTTGAGATTATATGCAGGCTAAAAGGAGTGGATAGACAATTTTCTATTTTCTGCATAAATTATGGTTTTAAACAAGAATGGCTTCAGCGATGCAAAGAATACGAAAATATAACGTTTCCAAGAGTTTTCTTTTGATTTTGTAAATAACTTTGAATAAGCTTTCCTTTACGATTTAATGACTACTAGTGCTGACAATAAGTTGGACTCAAACACATCACATAACGATAGGGTATCGTTGGCGAGTCAGTGGAAGACTGCCGCTCCTTCTGGAACACGTCCGTAGACTCCAATCACGTCCCGGTTCCCGCACGATTTTGTTTACGTCTAAATGGACATAAAAAATTGTTGGCAGTGAAGCAGTTACGCCCCCAACTTGATCAGGACGCTGAGTCCCTTTTTAAGGGAGATATAACCAGACGCGTATCTGAGATTGACTGCAAGACTCCTCCTAAAGAAATCTGGCACAACATACAGTTAGCTGTAGACACAGCTGTAAAAGCTGCTAATAACCTAAAACCAAAAGTTAGTAAGAAACAATAGATCTTTACCACCTCATCTGCACTGATCGACGCAAGAAGACTGATTTCGGCGAGCTCCGATTACGATGAGGATCGAAAGCTACTCGAACGCAAACTCACAAAAAGCCTTCGTAACGACCGTGAACAGTGGTGGGTGACATAAGGAAAGGAAACAGAAAAGGCATTGGAGGTAGGTAACGCCAGACAACTATTTAAACTTATCAGGGAAACAGATGGTAAAAGACAGACGATAAGTGAAACAATCTCTGAGAAAATTTGCACCACAATTAGCTCCCAGGATAGACGACTGGAACACTGGAAAGAACACTTTGAGGAGCAGTTTAATTGGCCTACAGCCACACTCAACTTAACGAACATCCAACACCTCCCTGAATGGGATATGGACACAGGTCCTCCGTCCCTAACTGAGGTTACTAAGGCTGTCGCTAGTCTGAAACGATGGAAAACAGAGGGACCTGTTGGAATGACTCCAGAGGCGTTTAATGAGGGCGCAGACAGTTTACTGTCTGAGTTAACTAAGTCATTAGGCAGTGTCTAGGAACCAGAGTTAGTTCGATCGGGTTGGTGTAAGTCATTGATCATTCCGGTGTACAAGTCCTACTGTGATAATCAGAGAAGGATCAGCTAAAAGAAGTCATCGATTCTTATGACAGTTGTAAAATTGACGACAATGATATAGGAATCAAATCAGAAATTAAGTATCTTGGACTTATTTTCTCTTCTGATCTCTCCTGGTCTTCCCATGTCTTAGCAATCTCCAATAAAATATTTTGCCTGACATTTTACGTTAAGAAGACACTCGGGTATAACTCAACCCCTCCTCTTACAGTTCATAAACTCTAGCATCCTACCTATTCTTCTTTATTGTTCACCCTTATTCTTTCCTGGTTTGCTTAAAAAAGACTATGTCACAATTCGTAGAAGGCTGAAGACTGTCAGTAGGGTGAGTGGTGTCCCAGTGGAGCACATAGTTAACATCGTTGTCGATAGACACTTGACTTCGTGCAATAAATTTTCTAAAGGGATTTTGTCTGACTTGGAGCATCCGCTTTACCCTCAGCTTTCACCTTGCATCTCCTCAGGTAGAACAAGAAGTAACTTCAGAAAACTGTATGCTCGCACGTCTAAGTATAAAAATTCTATGATACCATACTTGGCACGTATTTTATATGATGAAAATAGTGTCAGGCAGGAACTAACTGACCTTTTTTCCTCTAGTAAATAAACAATTTCCTCCATCTATCCTTAGATACCTTCAAGTTTTACTTTTATTATTTCTATTATATTTATGGTCCTGTTACTTCTTTGTTTTACTCTCATAATTGCAAACACCAACTTATCTCTACGACTGCTGTAATCTTTGTTCTTCCTCTCACCATATCATGTAAAGAGAAAATTATATTCAATATTTTTAAACATGTCAGGATTCCTATACCACATTGCCAATACTGTGTGAAACAAGCCCACGGCAATTTTCACTCGTATTATTATTATCCTAGCTGTTATATCATTATTATTATTTCCATTTTGTATGCTGCATGTTTTGACATTACCCCTGTTGTAAATGTGGAAAATTTCCTGTGTGATTAATTTATATTTATAGCTTGAGGAAATTAGATGCAATATTGTGATTAATGCTGAAAATTCCATTCTGTATCACAAGTACTGTTTTTGGAATAAAATAAATTTTCAAGTATTGGTTTTTTGTAGGGATTTTGTTTGATTGCATGGAGGATTTAATCATGAGCTGACATCAGTTAGAGAACCACTGGAAAACCTGGGAGTACTGGACAGCCGTTTCGTTCTAGTTTGGGACTCCTCAGCAGTCCATTACTCCCAGGTTTTCCAGTGGTTCTCTAACTGATGTCAGCTCATGATTAAATCCTCCATGCAATCAAACAAAATCCCTACAAAAAACCAATACTTGAAAATTCATCTGATGCTCACTAGTGACTGGCCCTATTCAGGCAGTTAACCTGGGGTTCTAGTGGGAAGCCGTGACCAGTAGGGTACAGCAGGTCGAAGATGAGGCAGTAACTCATCGAAGAAGACATTGCGAAGTGGTCGCGCTATGCCGTGAACTGGCAGAAGTTAGAATTCAAGGACCATTGGATCGGGTCCCAGTGGCTCAATGGTCTACGAGCTCGCCTTGTAACCAGAAGGTCCTGGGTTCGAATCCCGGTGGGTGCGTACTGCTGAGGAGTCCCAAACTAGGACGAAACAGCTGTCCAGTACTCCCAGGTTTTCCAGTGGTTCTCTAACTGATGTCAGCTCATGATTAAATCCTCCATGCAATAAAATAAATTATTATTATTATTATTATTATTAGCTTGACTAATATGATATCTAAAGTTCTAGGCTCAATAATCATGCGTAGATTAAGCGGTTCACGGGAGGAAAATTAACACAAGAGATGCAGTCAGGTTTTAGACTAGGAAGATGATGTATTGATCATATCTTCACCCTTCAACAGATTCTGGAACATAGCTATACTCACCGGTGTCCAACTGTTATGTACTCGTCGCTAAGTTATTGTTATGGACTGGTTGAGAATTTAATAGTCCTGACGCAAGACGCAAGACCACTAGGTTTGCGATGATACTTCTATTTTCCAACACCGGGAGAAGCAATAAGTGGTATCACACCACAGTAAGTAAAAGTAAGTGAGTGTGTGTCACAAATTGTGAGAGCGAAATATATATGACCATCCAGACAAAGGGTGAGAAACAAATCACTAGACAGTCTTAACATGAATGGCTAATTATAAATGGAGTGTCGATCCAAATATACATAGTAAAATATATCAGACATGTCAACAACTACCATATATGGATATATGTCACCAAGCAACGGACTGTCAACAAACACTCATATTATATATAATATAATATAAGGAGAATATACATTGTTAAAGGAGACAGGTTCATACAAGTGAAATGGTCACAGACTAAGAGAGCAAACAGAAAGAGAGACCAACATACACACACACATAAATATATATATGTGGATACATATCACCAACATTCGCCATAATTCTTGACCGATTCCGTCGATCGATAAGTATTATGGCGATGTTTGGCTGTGAAGGGAATGCCGAGAAAATACATAGCACTGATCAAGGCAATCTACTCGAAATCACGTAGCCAGGTGATAGCCTATGGAGAAGTGTTGACAACTAATGGTGTCCGTCATGTGATAGGACTCAGTTTAAAATAGTACATCATCCTTTCTCACGAATCATGTGATTTATCATGTGACGGAGTTACTATGCGAATGTATCATTTCTCATGCATATTGTGATTTAGCGTGTGACCAATTCATCTTGTTTCGTCTCACCTTTATCTTTTTCTGACCACCAACAAATCAGGATAAATATATCCAACCAACACGAACAATACATTCTCACGGTCATGAATCGACTTTATTACAGTTAAGAAAATATATAAATATCATGTGTTGTTTCTTAATACACATAGTGTAGAACAGTACAATACTATATCTTACAGTCGCAGGCCAGCCTTCGTCTTTTGATACTTGCGCGGCTCAGTGAATCAGGAGGTATAGCGGACAAACAGACGTATTAGCGTGTCAGTCGACTTTATTACCGTTACATTATTAGACAGGCACAGACATAACAGAGTAGCAACGAGTCTATTCAGTTTAGTTCAGTTATGACTAAATAGCAACGGAGTTATACCAATTGGTGACAGGTCATTTCGGCGATAACATCAAAAATGGCCACTATCCCCATTTCTTTTTAATTTCATCATAGATATTGTACTCACGGACTTAACCCTAACTGGCTTCAGCGACTCAGAGAATGACTAATTATCATCGAGGAATAATCTCATTGAATTAGAATATGCAGATGATATAGTCCTCCAAGGTGGAGACGCTGACAAAATGCGGTCGTCTGAACACCTTGAGGAGAAATCTTCGAATGTTTGGCATGCAATTATCTTATGTCAAATGTAAGATGATGCTACAGGACTGAACTGAAATACATCGACTCACTCCCAGCTTAAAGATAGGCAGAAGTGAAGTCGTTGGGTTTGGAGAGTTGCATCAGTCAGTACCAGTGGATTGGTTGCTGACGAAATCTCTGCACGGATACAGAAGGCTCGTTTGGCATACGCCAACTTACGCCATCTCTGGCTTAGTAGACGTGTTATCCGGATGGCTGTCAACCAAAGAGCGTGTATACTACTCAGTAGTTCACTCCGTCCTCCTTTATCGCTGGTCATGATACATGGCCATTGTAAGTGGAAGACATGAAAAGGCCGGCTACAACAACATCTTCTTTGAGATACATAAATCATCAAGTTAATCATCCTATTGACTTCGTATACCTCAGTAGTTACTTATACCATTTGAATTGAGGGATTTTGAGGTCGTTTAAAGAACAAAATTTGATCAATAAACAGATCCTAGAAAGTAAACAGGTTTACAGTCACCTCAAGGAATGCAAGTCCATAAATTATCTGTGGTGATTGACAATTTCTATCTCTGTATTGTTTAAATACTTACTGTTGACTGTTGATATGTTTCTTATAAGAATTGCATTAGAATTCCGCTAAATACAAATTCCTGATTGCTGCCCTCTCTGAGTTTTGGTTGGATTCGTGTAATTCCGTCATCTCGAAATACTAATATTTCAATTACAATAAATTACTACATTATCCCAGGAAAAATTGGGAAATTTACCTAAAGAACATGATGGTTAATTATCTTGTGTGAATTAGGCAGTCTGCATATTCTAATACATAACTAATTGACAAATTTGCAATTTTAACTGGTTGTTAAAGGTCATTTGGTGGCTGTTATTCTGTGAATTTGATTGACTTCTAATTTGTCATCTCGTGAAATCATGGGGCATCGTATTCCGACGCAAAGGCTGCTGAATGGTAATGTGCTCACCTAGTAATCATGAAGTCATGAGTGGATATTTTGAACGAGTTGCGAGTAAAAAATGGTGAAGTTTTTGAATTGTCCGTTTGCCAAAATGTTTCCCTCATAACTGCAATTATGCATTGACGAATAAATAATATTTTGCACACAACCGGTACAGTATAAGAGACAAGATTCAGATCTTCTACACTAATGTCAAGTCAGCCAGCGTGTCACCAAAAACACTATCAACAGGCTATCAGAGACTTTTATCCATACTGAAGAATAGATGGACAGAAAGGACAGGTATCAAGGAATTCTGGCAGCAAACAAACCACAAATCTGATGCCCAAAAAATTTATAGAAGGAAACACAGATGGGTTATGCCCATACTAAGTGACATCGAGCATCAGGCCCTCGGGTAGAACGTGAATGAGGAACAACGAGTTGGGCATGGGTCTGAGGGTGAGATGGAGAAGATCGCATATGAAGAGGAAATAAAAGCTTATGATAAGTCGTGAAGCCAAATAAAAAATACTGAAGAAAACATGGTGAAATGGAGATATCCTGCTGAAGATGTCCTACTCTGAATCCAAGGGAATCACAATCATAATACACACAGTTCATTAACTGAATTCAAAGCGCTGATTACAATTTACTTACCTAGACCCATACATTCACACACCGGGTTACTTTCTATCCATCTGTATGAGCATTCTGAATTCGGTTCTCTAATCTAATGAGAAGAGAAAAGAGAAAATTAGAATAGAATTACAAGACAAGACAACGAGATGATAATAGATGAAATCAGTGGAATTACTGGAATAAAATAAGACAACCGAAAGGCATATAATGGCATCATTAGAAGACGGAGTTTATCTGAAAAATGCGTGGTTTGTTTGCACAAAACGTTTCGAACAATTTGATCTCACATTTACTTGTTAAACCAATTTATATGAAAAACGAAAAAAAATGAAAGCTCAATTAAAATAAACGAAATCGACTTCATTGCCAAAATCAACACCAACATCAAACACGGTCGAAAAAGTATTCCGAAGACATGGGACCTCAACAGTTATCATCCCACATAGATCAGAAAAGTCAAGCGATATTGGAAGAGCACTCAATAAACACATAACTAGAGTCCTCTTCAAAACATCAGACACACTACAAAGCAATACTGTCCATCTAAAAGACCGAATCTCAATGCATTAATCTAATTTTGTCTAGGAAATAAAATGCTTCGAATATGATGCGAAAAACATCACCAGAAATCAAGATCAGAAGAAACGAACACCATAGAGCATCGATTCGACAACGAGAAATCCAGTTGAACTAGAAAAGCTTGAAAAATCACCAGCCATAAGTCTACATGCTATATAATCAGGCTACAAAATTGATTTTGACAGTATTGAAATAATCCAGAAAGATTTCAGAAATCACATAGAATGTCTAATATCAGAAGCACTTTATATTAAATGGAATCCAAATTGTCTGAATAGGAATGATGGACTAAGACAAAATTTGACCACCCCGCATGAAGTGACGAAATCAACACAAATGTGGAAAGCAATTCCATTATGTAAACACATGCCTGTTTTTATAATTTTTATTCACTTATCAAGTCCAACAATCTACACATAGTTTTGTTACGATTACCACGTGACCAACTTGACAACGTAAAAACTAACTCATGTTGAAGAAAGATGATTAGGTTACTGTATATAAACTGAGATTTTGTAAATTCTAGTTTAATAATACTTTGCTAAAGCTACTACCATTAAGTGACGAAACGTCAGTAAGAGAAATATCGTTTTGTTTTTTATTCAATGGGAATTACAAATGTTTTTGTAATAATGAATCTTGAAGGCTATATAAATATCAATTTTGGGATTAATATCAATTAAGTGTTTTGATATCGACGAAGTTGGTAGTTTGCCACCCGAGTTTATCGAGGTTTCTCACAGTTTATTTGTTTTCCTACACAGTTAAGAACACGTTCTTCCACCTGGTTACTCCTCCTCAATATCTGTGACCGCACAGAAATGCAAATTCATATGTAGCATGGGCTGTGACTTGTCACTTGTACAAAGTTGAAGCTTGTGGTAAAGCATGTTTTTGGCTTTTTCGATAATTACAAGCTGGACCGAATAGTAAATTCTACAAGTAACCGACTTTAGCCTGTATTTTAAAATCCTGCTATTTGAACATGAACAAAGCAAGAACAACAATTGTACCAGGATAATATGAGCTCATCTTTTATTATTTCGAGGACTCTTCTCAACTGGTTACAACCTCAACGTTAAAAAATATGAATTACATTAAAGATATGAACATACTTTTCCACGATCATAAGGAGTAATTGGTAGAAATTAAAAGTAACATTGGTCCGGAATGATTTAACTGATTAGGAGTTACAAACACTGACTATTTATAGAATAATTAGACAATTAGGCTTGGAAACAAAAAATGGTTGCGTATATATATATATATATATATATATATATATGTGCGTATAGAAACAAGGTTTAGCTAGAAAGAGCATAACAAAAAGTAGATTACGCAACTTTCTAGCTAAACCTTGTTTCTATACGCATATATATATATATATATATATATATATACGCAACCATTTTTTGTTTCCAAGCCTAATTGTCTAATTATTCTATAAATAGTCAATGTTTGTAACTCCTAATCAGTTAAATCATTCCGGACCAATGTTACTTTTAATTTCTACCAATTACTCCTTATGATCGCGGAAAAGTATGTTCATATCTTTAATGTAATACATATGTTTTAACGTTGAGGTTGTAACCAGTTGAGAAGAGTCCTCGAAATAATAAAAGATGAGCTTATATTATGTTCTTGCTTTGTTCAAGTTTATTAATGAGAAGAATTGCATGAAGTTTTTAAAAAAATCCTGCTATTTATTTCACCATTTGTAAGGAAATTTGATTTAGACATCTCTCCTAGGAACATAGTAGACTGTATGCTCTGAATTTAACTGACTTCTATATCGGTTCAAAAACTTCGTAAGATATCCATATTCTATAGGTGTGTCCGTCAATAATTCGTCAGCATTTATAAAATCAACTGTACAGATAGACTGAACCTTCTAAAATAAGCAGTTAACCAAAACCTCTCTGATACTGTAATGGACAGCAGTTGTGAAAATGTAAATACTACCCTGTCCCTAAGTAGGCTTTCTACAAACCGATCGTTTTGAGACATCCTCTCGTCCACTCAAAAGTGTCTAGAAATACGAGTTGGTTGCAACCTCTTTCTTTACATTTAAGACTGATCTGATTTTGTATAAAGTCAAGCATACACGGTAGACAAGTCGAGTTTTCATGTTTATTGCCTGTGAAGATGACATCATCAACATGTTTATAAAAAGGTACCCTAGCGGTCAAGTCATCAGCAAGATTTTCAATGTATGACGCATATAAACCAGTCGCCGCCGCCCACTTGTCAAAAGTGCTCAACTTCAAAAGCTAAATGAATGTTGTCTGCATATAATATTAACAAGTCCTGCGAATAAGTTGAGGGAATAGAGAATGAGAGATTACTAGAGAATATGTAACCACAGAGAATATCATGTGCACCCAACCAAAAGTTACTAGGCATAGGATAGTTGACTGGAGAAATTTACATAAGAAATAGAATACAAATGAGGCATTGAAATGAGTCGCAAAACTAAGACTTTATAGCTAAGTCCTTTGGTCCTTAATGATTCCTTCAGTTGAAGTTGGTACTTAGAAAAACCAACCTTTGAAAACAGGATATGCATATTTACATGAATAAATTGGTAATTTGACTAGTAGTGATAGAGTAGAGTTTGACGTTTTGCAAAGATCGAATTAATGACCATATAAATGAATGGAGAAATGCTAATAATTCAAACAAGGTAACTCGTAAGTTGTGTACGACTTCCCTTATTGCACTAAAAAACTTGTTTATTGTATAAGAAGTAGTGGTTATTGCACAATAACTGTTGGTACAGTGTCAAAACGAATGCACTAAATTTTCTAAAACATTTGGAAACTAAAAACCGATACAGATGCCAGGGTTAGAGAAATTTGATTAATTTATGTAGAGATTTCGTTAAGAACCAATATCGGTTAGAGAAGAATACTTCATCTCAACTTGTGATTCATCAACAGTGCTCACGCATCGACCCATCACAGATTGGACAGAGAATCGTTAGATTACCACCCAACCACGTTTGGTATTTAGTCACTAGGTTGGAACCTAATGACCCACAAGTTTTAGCTTGTCAATTTACGATATAGGTGGGTGGAGAGAGAGATTGATTACTGAATCCTGGTTCATCAAGTTTACTCCCAACACTTGCAACAGAAGTGACTCAACGCAAATACCAGAGAAATGAAAGACATTATTGCCAGTCAAATCAGAGGATTATAAATAATGTTAAAATGTATTCAATTCACATTATAAAACTCTAACAAGTTACTTAATTTTACTATAAAAACATCTTATTGTATTTTATTGATAACACTAATATTATTTTCGAATGTATTTTATGTAATATTGATTTTATTCAAATGTCTAATCAATTTTTACTCATGTTTATAAATGAAGCAAAAAAGTTTTGTGAGTAATGCCTTGATATGATTACGGGCGGCAATACATTGTGCTCGAAACGTCATCAATAAATACTACTGTATAACACTGTGATTTTATCAAAAAATTTTACCCATAATGGAGCTATACTATACCGCAGTGCCCAATTTTTATCTTTATATCAGTAATATAGAGTCACTGCCAGTAAATGTCATTTTCATTCATATGTCCTCTTCTATTAGTATCAGTTCATAGCGGAGCCTAGACTGAGAATAATGGTGATCGTTTTTATCCAGCACTACAAAAGCATATCAGTTCAACTGGCATCTCAAAGACTCTACAACACTTACTATGCAATCAAAATTCGCATTTGAACCCCAATGATTTATCTAGTTATACAGAACACTGCTTCTCTATAATGTGACAATAACGCCAAATTTCAAGATGGAAATAAGCCTATTTGTGGTGACTTCACAAGGGTACGCCACCGTTTACTATTGATATTTATTTAAGCAGCTATTTTTTAAACACTCAGTAAGTAGTAATATAAAATATAAGACATGACATGGACAAAACACTTTAGGTCTTTTGAGTATCGGCATTGATTTTAAGCTGGAAAATGCAGTCACAAGTTGAAGATTATCGAAAGCAGCAGTACAAAAAGCAATGAGTAATACAGTGTAGTCATATTAATCGGATAAGATAGTGATGCATAATGGTATATATTACTGATTGGTAATAGTAGTCAGAAACCGCTCCAATCACCCAGTAGTGCTTGCTAGCCAGATCGAAGTCATTCAAATATCAGATGGTTGTTTCATTGATGAGAAGCCAAGCTCATTAGCGATGTACGAATCAGTTCAAATCATCTGAATTCTGACCACTATTTCACGATAATAGTATCTAACTTCTCATATCAATTGATCAGTAGTATATAGCATCATGTATTTATGCTTGCCTTCTGGACATTTACGGTATCAGGCAGGTCACATATTGCGATCTTAATGATTTCATTTTACAAAGAAAACTATACAGAAATTTCATCTGGAATTGTTTAATTCGCAAAGTGAGAATTTGATTTTCAATCTGTGATGTGTACATTTAATGTGTCGGTTCTTTAACCAAGAAATTAACCTACTACACAAGATAATTCAACAACACGATAAATTTCCAAAAAAAACATGTTGCACTATACACTAAAAATTATAAAACTATTAGAACTTACAAGATTTTGTGGTACAACACAAAGAGCAACCAAAGTGGCATTTATACAAGATAACAAATCGTCTGCGTTTAATATAAGTGGAGAAGAATCTTTTTCGAATATGTTAGAATCAGGTCGCATTATTCGAAAAGCTAATTGACTTTGACTTTCTTCTCTACCACTGCATGGTGAGTCAGTCGTTTGCAAAGTATTATGATCGATGTCAGAAAAACGGATAGAGTCATCACATACAACACTACCTTGTTCATTTAATTTTTCTTCAAATGTATCTTGATGACTTGATGAAGGTACGACTGGGACTAGATATGGAATACAATCAAGAACATGAGCTACTGGATGCCCGAGAGGTTCATTCTTTAATCTAGGTGGTAAGCTAGTATGTGCATTGGAAAGACTGGATATAAAATATGTCAGCATCATAAGATCACGATGGTCAGGAGGACTAAGATGACATCGTTGATCAATTAAGGCATTCTCAGCGTACCTGTGGAATAAAGATAAAAACAATAAAGACGTATAGCGGCAGTCATAATTCAAGTTTTGAGTATGCAAAATATAAATATACGGATTACAACCTGTAAAAAAACGTGGGTTTGTGATTTGTTACCTCACTTCAATGACTCAATGCGATAGAGGGTTTATGCACCCTCGTGTTTCACTCAAAAGGATTATATACAGCTGCTCATTCTTTTCTTCTACTGGACTCTTTTCATTGCCTTCAAAGCAGTGGAGGGGATCGCCCCTACTATCGAGAAAAGAAAAATACTTATGTCTAGAGTTTATCATGGGATTAGCCGACAGAGACAGTCCACCAAGAGGGATCAGAAAACCTCGATTTTAAACAAAAATGATGCACATGCGTGAAAAGATCCACAAGTAACAAGTAGTGATTTAAATCTGTTATGGCCACCAGCAATCACAAAAATCGCTATTGTCTTGAGCACTAAACTTCCGGTCAAATAATTGAGGAATGGTCACTTGATGAAACAACTGGCTGTTTTGATTTTAAAGTCCAAGTAGTACTTCAGCCTTCACACAAAATTTGACATAAAGACTTAATTTCCACCCCCACAGTCGCACAAATAACCACCTATTCTGCATCGCGAACCGTGTGCGTAAAAATTCAACTCACTATTATATTGTCCTTATCGTTTTCACACAATGAAGCTTTGCATCTGTTTTATCTAATTTACTTCATTTTGCTCAAGATATTTTCTGTAATTATATATACTGCGCCTCTGAGACTATAAACAAAATTCCAAAGAAATGCCTCTAATAACTTTTGTAAGAGCTCAAAAATAATGTTTCATATGCAGCCAAGCTGTGGTATGAACAAACGTCTCAGTATTAGACACAAGATGCTAGCATCTACTTTTCTAACACTTTCAAATACTGTTCAATTTTGGCTTTGCTATCGGCATGCCAATATGTTGTTGTCATAATGAACTGAGATTTCCTTAATCTATGTAGAATTTTATTTATTGATAAATGTACTAAGTGGATGCAATACTGTAGTAAAATGCTGAGAATTCCATTCTGTATCACAAGTACTGTTTTGGAATAAAGCAAATTATTATTATTATTATTATTATTATTATTATTATTATTATTATTAGATAAGAAACTAAGCTATTCGGAATGAAAATGTTACTCGACAATCACTTGCATTTCTATACAGCTGGTAGGTAATGAGTCACACCTATTTTGTCTTACGGTTAGTGATACTACCTTGCCGTCTACACCTCAATCGGTAGAACAGGGTTCTAACCATTGGCTGAAAGTTGAGCGTGACACACATACCCATGACACAGAGTTCCACTTGCGTTAATAGTCCGGATATCTACCAACGACCGTTTGTATGCCATAAGGATAGAAAATTCAATCAAATGAGCAACTGGTAAGAAAAGATTTGTCGCTTAGTTATCTCTGTCGCCAATGTCGAATTGTAGGCAAGATTCAACTAAAAATGAGATATGTTACCAACTGAGTGGATTTCATGAGCTAATGAAATCAACAGCTAGGTGAAGATATTAATGTCTATACTGGGCTTCTAGGCCGAGTTACTGAAGTGGTGGTACACCAAGACCGAAGCGGTTGCAAAGTAAAAAATAGTGGTTGTCTTCTGTAGTCCCACCTACTTCTGGCCAAAATCAGATTGCAGACAAACCGTTTTTTTAGTGTTATGCGGCTTTCAAACCACAATCAGTCAGCTATCGACTTCCTACATTCATACAGGACTTGAATATGATCGGTTTATTCTGTGCTTTATTGGTAGTCGTCCTAAACACCCTGACATGAGAAACAAGCTAGCTGCACCTAATATTGCGGCTAAATATGCTAAACTGACTAGATTCAAGACCAGCTGGTGGCTTCCAGAATTTATAAATAGACACTGGTAGCAATTACAAGAGATCATGAATAAAGCAAGAAAGTTTTACAATCAAGCACCGGGCATTTAGGGGTAGATTCCTACAATTTCATGAGACGTATCTATTCATTTAGATGGATAAAATCAACCAATGATTACAAAACTATGGTTATACCAGGCGACAGAAATGTGAGTCATGAAAACATTTATTTCCCGATACGAATTTAAAACAAGTGATAAAGCTTAAAAAGCAGAATTTAATGAATCCATCAAATTTCGGTAGAACTCGTCAGCTGAATACTCTACATACACGGATATATATATATATATATACTTTTGAAATTACATTAGGATATAAGACTGATAAGTAAGTAAACAAACTACATTGAATTAGTCTTGCAGAAAGACAGGTGCGAATGTTTTCCGAGTGATGTTCAAATAGATAAGGGGAGAGAGAGAGAGAGTATGAGAGATCAAAATTAAGATAAATTGCATTACGCTTCAATTACATCACTTAGATAAACAATTAGTCATTAGAGAATATAACAAGAATTGCAAACAGACTAATATCAATAGTAACAGTGTTCTGACTAAGTTCTTTTTATACTGGGAGGAATGTAACTAGACTAATATATGTCCTCGGACATGCCGTCCGAATCTCTATTACACAACAGAACACGAGGAAAACGATACTATTAAATTCCTAGTTTTTCTAGCGAAAATGAGTGATGACACAATTAAAAGTTCATTAATAAATAGTCTAAAGAAATTAGCCCCTGCAAAACAACCCAAACAGTTCCGAAGAAATCTGTCTATATCAGTTTGCCATTCAAAGGAGATGATGTACAGGAAGTAGTCAAACGAAGACTCGATAAAGCCATCAAGAGAACTTATTATTATTATACTGCAAAACTTGTTATCCTTAACACCACTAAGCGAGTGCTTCAACAATATGGGAAAGACCAGTCGCCAATCCTGGACACTTCAAACTGCGTATATCGATTCGAGTGTATTTGTAGTCGTAAGGAAAGGCGATTGTCTACTCGCATGATGGAGCATTTGCGAAAATGGTTGAGAACAGCTGAGCGCAAAGTGCCAAAATCCTCAATAACAAAACATCTTGTGGACTACGGACATGATATCGACGCTGTCAAGTCATTCACTATTGTCAGCAGACAAAGAAACAAGAAGATGCTTGCAATTACAGAGGCTTGTGCAATTCGAGTTTATAATCCAGGTTTCTGTGTACAAAAGGAGATGGTCGTAACTCTGAATCTTCCATGGTAATACGTTTTACTTATTATTCTACCTCTTATTATTATTATTCTTGATTCATTTAAAACTATCCTTTATCAGTAGCATTATCTTAACTCACTTCAACACTATTATAATTATTGTTATTATAACTATTACTATTGATATTAGTCTGTTTGCAATTCTTGTTATATTCTCTAATGACTAATTGTTTATCTAAGTGATGTAATTGAAGCGTAATGCAATTTATCTTAATTTTGATCTCTCATACTCTCTCTCTCTCTCCCCTTATCTATTTGAACATCACTCGGAAAACATTCGCACCTGTCTTTCTGCAAGACTAATTCAATGTAGTTTGTTTACTTACTTATCAGTCTTATATCCTAATGTAATTTCAAAAGTATATATATATATATATATCCGTGTATGTAGAGTATTCAGCTGACGAGTTCTGCCGAAATGTGAGTCTGATGGAAGTCAATTTACCTTGTATTAATGAGATTGTATGTGATATGCCGATATGTAGCTCTAAACAACGTCTCAGATGCTATATGGATTATTTAGTGAAGTAGCTTAGCTAGCCCATATGACAGTATGTTGAAATTCAGTTAACTAGAGCACATCATTCATGTACTAGTTTATGCACCACACTTATTGTGAAAGGGCTGATACAAATACTCAGTCTTATGAGTGGGGAGGTTTTCAAACCAGGGGCATACTGGCAGTAAACTCACGATTTGGCTTTGGATTCTATAAGCAGAACATCATGATGGAATGTTTCGTTAGATATATCCTGAAAGTAAAGCAAAAATATAAGTAGAGAGATGAGTTAAACGGAAGTGTTCGGTAACGAATTTAAGAGAAAACAGTAGTTATTAGTTTGAATACTAATACACTTTGCAGTTATTTTTGTCAGTTATTATTATTTCGTCAAAGTACAAGTTTGGTAAGCAATACCCCATAAACGACCTGCTACGACTGACGGTGAGTGGACTTCAGTCGTCCTGTCGAAATGATCTCATGTGGCCAAGCGTTCATAACCTCCAATGGATTAACTCTATTTACTGCCTGAACGTGTCCGGATTATTCCTCAAGGAAGTGAAACGATGAGCACAAACATCTGGTGCTTACAACCGAACTGGTGGGGGTGCAGGCCTACTTAAGGGAGCTAGAAAACTCTGATTCCAAACTTATGGTGTATATCAGCTTCAGAGTCCGAAGGGATCCAACAGCATATGGACACGTCTTGACCACCTGAAAACCATGGGAACGTAGCTCCTGGCGCTGCTCTACTACCTCGTGGAGTGAAAGACTCGGGATGTGGCCCCCTTAAGACAACCAACTTCGGTCTGGATGTCTGGGTAGTATCTCAACCCTCGTACGAACTATGGAATTTTGTTTGATGCATCTCTTGGTGCCCGAGTGTACCATTTGTATATTATTAGTGGTAGGAATAATGATAACTGATACCATTACGTGGATCATGCGGCAATATGAAAATGTAAGAAAACAGAGCTCACAAATAACAAAATGATGAGGGAAGCATTCCTATAGGGAAAATCATCAAATAGCTATTTGTTATGTCAATAGTTACATCCAGATGACGAAAAAAATAAATTGATTGCAACTGATTTGGATTCTGAAGTATGCCTGATAAGATCTTCACTTAATGAGCTACCATAAAACCTGATGAGAGTAATTCAAAACAACTGCTTTAAGGATTTGTACCATGGACAAACTGCCTTTTCATTTCATATATATATATATATATAAACTACTCTCCTTACACTATAGATGTAGCTAATAATAAAAAGCATTCATATCTAATTCATTTTTAAGATAATAAAACAACCGATAGTTCCTTAAAATACCTAAATTCATTGTTGATACTGAAGAATATCATCAATGAAGTAGTATTATGAACGGAAGATAGTTGAACGACGGGATTCTTATGAAACATGTCGAGTAAACTAGTTACTGTGCTTGTAGGCACGAGCAGAACTCCACGGGAATAAGAATAACGTTTTGTTCAGCGTTGTATTGTGTCATAAAACGTTTCAGCGGAAAATACACATAATTATTACCAATATAAAAGGCTGGGTCATTCGCAAAACGATTTGATATATTTACCTAAATAAGAAATATACAAATAATATGTAACTACCAGACAGAAAACTTGCCCGACATTTCCAGGTATCTATTGTTTTCAGTGAACTGCCATCAAGATCTGGAGAATTTGTGCGACTATATGAAGGTCCAGGGAGATGAAGCTGAATAACCAGGTCTGGTTTTACTAGTAGTATCTGCTCCAACAACAAAGTTAATCCAAGCCCTATAAACAGATTAACAGCAAATACCCTACAATTGTGTATTTTTGGACACTACTGACAATACGGAGAATCTCATACACACCCTCCAATTTGGATACAAAGACTAAAACGGGCAAGTACATCAATATGGTAGACACTAATTACTCATAAAATCAACACATTTTACTTATGCTTTTAGCCGATTTAGCGTGGTGTATGGTTTTACAATGATTTTGCAGGAATTGGGACTGTTTCGATGAATTTCTTTCGGTTTGCATCCTTTTTAAGTATCATATTGCCATCTCTTCTGCTATTGTATACTAATGTGTTATTATCTATTTTTTTCTTATTTTACTCGTTTAAATGAATAAAGCCTAAATTCTTGGTTCATTCGTCTTTTCAAGATTCAAGCATCACTCATCGTTCTAAGACTCAATCACCTTCGTAACAATGTGTCTTTGGAAAAAAGTGAGACAGATAGATACCGTTGCCATAGTTTATATCGCACCAAACATTATAAAATAAACTATTTCCAGACACGACACAGTAGTGAATCCAATACGAATTTACTGACATCAATAAGTTAACACAAAAGTCCTCACATGATCCACAATACCACCGCAAGAGTTAACCATGAAGAGCTGAGGAGTACCAAAGTTGGACATAAAATGGAGTAACATAAAAATACATACACCGAAGCCACATATGAATGTGAAAAATACATTTGTAACATAAGCGATCATGCATTATCACCCAGGTTCACCACCCAGTGAATCCAGACCCAATCAAAGCAATTATTGGTCACTTCGCAAACTGATGACATGTTTTAGTCCGCAGATTGTTTCCTTACTGCAGGAAACGTTTTACCCCAACGTCTATCGCATATTACGGTACAAAGTGGAGGTATGTGTAACAAGTGTCCCAAATAGATGATTTAGTTTAGGTTAAAAGCTTAATTGATTTAGCTTCTTTATCGAAAGCTAATCCTAATGTCAGTACACCGAATGAGAGTGAATGTTTGGAAACCCCTAAAAGGGAATACCTGCAATTTTCTGGTGACACCCACCATCACAATCTTCGAACAGCAGAACAGAGTTACCAGCTGTTTAGTAATCAACGAGACATTCCCACACAACCACAGACTACATGAGATGACCGATACAAAACTATTTTTGACCGCACCAACAATTAACCTGAGGTGAACGCATGGAATTAAATACAACTCATGAAACAACTAGTCAACACATGTTTATTTTCAGTTATTGTTTGTGAACATCTGTCTTCCATAAGTACAAATGACCGTCTAGCAGATTCTGTGTGCTTTCAGTCTTCACCTATGGCTATATCGTCTAAGTAACCGATGTCACAAATTAAACCTTCGAAAACTGGTTTTAGACACAGCTACCCACCGGTGTTCCTAAGTGAAAAAAGATGTAAGCAAAAGGCCGTTTTCAAAAACTCCCTCGGACTCTTCAGTTATATATACACAAATACAACCAGTAATTCTGGTAGATATCCTACAGGCCTGTGTACATATCCCCATATTCGAGTAAAATAATTTTCTGTTATCCAAGCGCTATCACGGGATTTTACTGGTGGTAGGCGGTAAACATCACTTTAACATCAGGAGATAACATCACTGTGGGACACTTACCTGAAGTCTTGATTTTCCTAAGCATTTTTACGGTGTAAAAACTTTTTAACAGAACAAAATGTTTTCATTAACTAATAATTCCACATTTTTATAAAAGAAAACTGATCGCGGCTCTTAAGTTTCTTACAAAGCTTATCTACTTATTATAAGTAATCAAGACAGAAGGATCTAGTACACATACATATGAATATATTAGACAGTGAAACATACCTTGCATCCAGCCCATTGTATTCACTATCAAACATGGTTTCGGTTCAGGCAGGCTCGAATAAGCCCCATATACAAATTCAAGACATTTTAAATAAAAACTGGGATCATCAGACGGTGAGATGCAACCAACGAAGCACTGACTAGAATAAACGTAAGCGATAGAAGAAAATAAATGCGTATGAAACGAGAGAAACGATCCGTTAAAAATTTACACCATTTGCATCCTCCAAAAGATGAAAGAAATGAAAACTAACCCACACATATACATTAAATTTAAAAGTCTCCAAAGCCTCAGGATGGTCGGGGGTGGGTGTTTTGCGCTGCGGGTTGGCCACCCCTCCGTACACCTCTTGAAATGCTCCCATATGACCGGGCGTCTTACATAGCCTCTCCTGAGGAAGTCCTACTCACTGCCTTCACATGGCGGAGGTGTTTTTTTCACCGAAGTGAGAGGGCAAAAGCGGATGCCCGGCGCTCTTCACCGGGTTGACTGTCCATTGGATGACAGTCTAGGGGAGATGGCTAAACCCTGATTCCAAACCTCCAACAACTGGCGTATGAAGCTCACTGGAGCTCACCGGCAGACGTATGGACAAAGGGCTTATTGGATGCCCTGGATGACTGGCCCCATTCAAAAAGGCGTATGAACCGGACTCTGGTCACCGGCTGCCAATGGATAGTGGACTCCCTACTCCACTCCTACTGCCTTGTAGGTCACACTTGGTTGTGTAAAGGCTAGAGCTGCACTCTCAAACAAAAGGCCGAGCGATTCTGGGGACATCACTCGTACCCAATTTTCATGAAACTTCATGGTTCATGAAGCCTGCTCATCCTCTCGTAGGAGATAGCCGAAGTAAAGTAAAGTAAGTAAGTAAACAAAAGTACAATAGAACATAGGTGTGAAAATAAAGCAGTAAAAAAATTAAGGGCAAACATGTACTGGTGCAATACCATGGAAGTTAATGAAGTAGCAGCTAGAGGGACTCAGAGCACTTGATAATAAAGTACCATTATAATTGAAATTTGCAAGCACGACGAAGTTCAGTAAAAAACAAACAAAACTAGATATTACACTAAGCTATAAGTTTTGGGTATTAGTTACAATCATGTGTGCCTTAGATGACATATTTTTATTCCTTTACGTACCCAGTGAAACATAGGGCTTCAAGCAGGAGGCATGAAGTTTCGGTACCAGTGATGATTATTCTTACAGGATGGGGTTGCTAGTCTCATGCCCAACCTTCGCTCTTTACCTGTCTTATTACTGGCTTGCCGAGGTAAAAGAGTGCGTCGGCCGGGGATCGAACCCCGGACCACCTGCGTGATCGGTGAGCACTCTGCCACTGTGCCAGGGACGCACCTTAGTTGACATTCCAAACTCAAAAATTACTATACGTCCTTAAGTATATAACACTTAGCTACAACAAATACACTTGACAATATTACTATCCTAGTGGTGTTTTCTGAAATAAAGTTTTCAGATATTACTAATGAATTCGTCTTAGCTGTTCACAATCCAAAACCAAATGAAAGACGAGAAAAATAAATCATAAGTGAATATTTCACTTTACTATCATATGTATTTTAGAGATGACAAATTTTTTTATCCGGTCTACTAACACCAATTTACCCTGCAAATCTAAGAAGACTATTTTCAAAAATTTCAGGAAGATATATTCGAGTTTGTTTATCAGTTTTTCCTGAAAAATATATCAATTTGGAAGCTATTTATGTAAGTGTACTTTCCGCTGAAAGAACATTCATGCAGAGCCAAAAACAAGGCAAATGTGCGCTTAGACGAGGTGTAACGCCTATTCCTCTTTTAGTCAGCAACAACCTAAAATTCCTTCCTAGAAAAGTTAAAAGAGAAGAATCATGTTGGTCGAAGCGTAACCGCAAATACAAACATAATAAAATTACTAGACTCATCATGGTAATCTCAACACGTGTATAACAACGTGACTTTAAAGACATTACGAATATAGTACCCGAGGAATATGGTTTCAGTAAACAACCGTAATTGGTGGAACCCCTCCACTTTTAACCTAGAAGGCTAATGAGCCCGTGTCTGGTAAATCAACCTTACAAAATTTCAGTCACATTAATAGCAAATTTTACCAGCAAAATTTTTTTTAAATACTGAGTGAAATATCTGTGGTTGATGTTTTAAGTTGTAAATTGTATTGCTGTTTTAAGTGAATCTACAGAAATACAAACTAAAGAGGAAGTACTCCATTAAAATATCTTTTGATCCACAGTGAAAAGTTAAATGAGGTCATCTGATTTGAAGAAAAATGTTAAATGAGCCGTAAAGAAAGCAACCGACACCTAATGAATACAATCCACTAATGATGATAGTACAGAATTTTAAAACTAAGTAGGACTTACCAAATCACATCCACATCGGCAGACAATACATGAGTAAATGGAGGACCAAACACTGGAAATTTAAGGAGAGATAAGCTGATCATTCCACTTGGTGTGAACTCAGGTTGCCCAACATCACAATCAAGTATTGCTATATGGTCCATTCTGGAATTCTCCATATCTGAAAGAGCTCTGTTGCATAAGAAACGCAGGAGCGATGATTTTCCAGCTCCCTTTGGGCCGCAGATCAATATTTTTCTCGGGCTTTTTTCATGAGAAACGTTAAACTTTTCAGAGATACTCAGAATCTCCGGAGATGTCTGATAACCAAAACAACCATCGTGATCATAGAAATTGAACCCAAGAGAATGAGCAGATGAGAAATGCAGAATAGCACCTTGCGGCGGCAAATGGAACAAAAAACGGAATCGCTTAACTTCAGAAACTGAATCAAGAACTCGACTTTCAAATGGAGTGAAAAGTAAAATAGAAACGTAACCCTGTATGGAGTCTAATTCAGAGACAAGACGTTGAATTATACAGCGAACGTCATCAGGGTCACATATGTTACGAAGTGCCACTTTAATTTCTACAGACTGCAACTGTCCAATAACATCTGTATTGGAATAACCGTTGCGACTGTTGCATTTGCACTGTTCGATTGAAATAGGAGTATGAGAGGTGGGAGAGTATAAAACAAGCGTCCTCGTAAAATCTGGTCTCAACGTCCCACCTAGTATAGAAATTTCCGGTCCGCACAAATGCATCAATTTTGACTTGCCAAAGATAGCAAGATGTGATGCTTCATCCAATAAAATGAAACATGAGCATGAATACTTGCTCGGTAACTTTGGTCGATAAGTGATCGCCTTGCCCTGCTGGTTATTGAAGCATTCCACACTAATAGTCATTGATACAGAACTATTGTCTGATGGAATTCGGTCAAGGGACTTATGAGTCCTCTTGCGCGTATTCTTGTGGGACTTTAACGTGTGTCCGTGATCACTCATTCTCGGCGCTTCCAGCTTTAAGGTCACCTAAGGCTTAGTAGACTGGACTTATCTAGCATGCTGGCACAAATTCAATTTTTTAAATAATTTTTGTATATATTTTGCTACAATTGTATTATTTGTTATCTGGATTGATGCAAATTCTGATATGTCGGTGAGCTGCATGTGATGAGGCTGCGGTACACTGCAAGCATATCAGTTCTAAGTGTTTGTGTGTCAGGTGGACTGTGTGAATACTGCTGTAGTAAGCAGGATGAAATAACTGGAGTGTAATATTACATACTCGAATGGTTTAATTTATGTGAAGGCTGATCTTTATGCCATTTTGTCATTTTATGAACATTTCATAGGTTTCTGGATATCCATACGACCAATAGTCATGTAATGAGGGGTATAATTTGAAAAGTGAATGCTATCCTTACATGGAAATCACCTAAATATTCTGGCAGAACCTCATTTATGACAGAATTTATGATGTAGGTGGTGTCTGTAGTGACAGAAATTATCGCAAGTTGAAAGCGTTTGCATAAATGGATTTTGATATACAGTTAGACAGATTGATATAACGTGATGAAGGTTGTGTGAATTTAATGTATAAATGGTTTTCTTAGATCAGTTAACGTCGTGCGGCACTCTGCTTAGCTGACTGCTAGGGTAAAAATATAGGTGATGCTGATGATAGTCGCAGGTGAGTGAATTTGAAAAAGTAAATCCTATTTTGGACTGCAATAATACACAGATTTTATCTCTTCGCTTTAAAATAACGTTCTATTTGGGACTGATTCTGAGTAAGGTTAGAAGCGGTTCTGATCCGGAAATGTTGTAGTCGCTTCTAGAGAAATACTTTACAGTGGATTAGAAGAAGTCTATTAAGATGGCTGTGGAGTCATATCTTGCTGGACCTGAGCTCTCCTCACACCACTCGCCAGCTGTTCAACTAGGTTAATCTAACCTGGAGGTGAAGCTAATTTTAACTATTCCCAGACTAATGAATGCAGAATATGAAACTTGCATATATCCAAGGTCTTATTTATTGACGACGGTATGAGGGGAGTTAATAGACAAACAATGTCACCACAGCGCATCAGACGCGCTGCTGTCCCTCGAAAACCCGAAATGTCTGCAGTGCCTTTCAGTCAGTACGGACAAACAAATTGATAGTGGGTGGAGAAATGCCTCAGTTCCAGTGGACTTGGCGACGTTTCATCATCTGCAACACTGACTGTTGGCCACCAAAATCAAAGAATAATTTCTTTACTTTTACTTTCACAACGATATGTTTCAAAGCTCAAAGCCTTCACTCATGCGCAGAATTTTAATCCAGATGGTTTGAATGCATCGCTAATATAACTCAGTTATGATTATTTTAGGGCGCTATGAGCTCAGTCCTAAGGTCCAGCACTAAATCAAATTAGGATGACTAGGAATCGAATCTTCTCTGGTGACTGCCTAAATCTGTGTGTGAATCCCGTAACTTAAAAAAGAGGAGTCTGCGACCTTACAGATTACCATCCAAGTTGTAGTCGTCTAACCAGTCAACTTCCTTCTTTAACTTAACTACACTGCGTGTCTTGAAAACTGACAACATTTATTCCATTTTTCCATGATTTCAATCATAAGATTAGTCGAAACATGTCAATTCTGTGTTACAGTTTGCCTTTCCGTCTAATTACTGTAGGACATGTGGTTGTAGCGGTTACTATATCACACTATACCAGGCTCACTAAACGTAATACGCCCATGTGTCACTTGATCAGTACGTTACCTGACTTGTACGCACTGATATAAGGGTTAGCATAACACAACGAGTTAGTTAGTGTACTAACGTAGTCACAGTTTCTACACAGAATGCATATATATATATAAATTTATTAAATCACTCCTTGAGGATTCCACTTGCTTTCTTCTATGCTGATGTAGTCTGTCTTCTTTTTGCTCTCACCATTTTAGCCCTTATATGACTTTCTCAATGAGAGTATAGAATGCATATATTTGGCCACCTACAATGACAAGTGATCTGTAAACACCACTGGTTCCAAATCCTACAACTGCCTTTTGAATTACCTTCCCACGCGAGACATTCTGGATGATAGCTGTGGAATATTACCTTTATACCAACAAAAAATCACAACAACTGCCTGTACAGCACCAGTAAATCTGGATATTTAGGAAATAATTAAAATATCCTGCTGGATGCATTTGAAATCTCACTGACGCGTGTGACGGTAATTTCCAGCTCCTGAATACTCCAACTGCCATTTTATATGGATTGGTTCTCTATTATCTGGTTCCTGGCCGCACATGGACTGAAAATTACCTATTTCTGTAACAATTCTTTGTATGTTTAACTGGACACTCACTGCGGTGGTGAATCGCCGTAGTTAATATCGCTAAACATATTATTACAAGTGAACTAACGTCTTTCAAAACAAATGTATCACTGTATGTGTCGATCACGTCTCAAAACCGTTATTGTCCAGCTCTTGCTACGCCGGGCCTCTCGCTGTCCCTCGAAGCCTTTCAGAAACGCTTAGTACTAACGGACGCAAAAACCAAAACACCGATTCGCGACTCGAGAATTCTTTATTCTAACACCAACACATAAACAGCATAATAACTAAGGTCTATGAACAAATATTACAATAATAAACCATGATATTACTTCTGACAGTTTTGGCCTGACTTCTTTCTGAACAGCGACCGATGAGACGATGACTGGTGTATTGATGCCTCCCGCGAAAAATATGGAGGAGTTGGGTTCGAGCAAACAACCATGAATTGATCGTTCAATCTTCAGCTACACTGACAGTATGAATATCCTCTCACACCTATCCTCATTAACACAATCATCAAATATGACGCCCATTTCGGTCCTCCAGTGGAGATGCTTTGTATTATACTGTGCACATGGCTTCCGCCTGTGCAAAGTGACCTTATCGGTATTGTTCCTTAACCTCTTCCCATGTGTGTATAGTGTAATTGAATAATTGTAAATATGCTTACTTCTTGTATATGTTATTTATCATATTGATGATGCCTGTAAACTGGCTTCCATCATGTTCAAAAACTGAGAATATATTACTATGGAACCGGACTAAAATCGAAAGACTCGGTTATTTAGCAGGATGCTCTACTAAGCAAGACATTTAAGCAAAATAATAATGTTAAGGTTACTAATTGGGAAGATTTAGGACTTATCTGACCAGTATCGTTGAGTTACGGATTCCGAGAAATGAGGGTGTTATTGGTGCAGAGTAGAAGTGCACCCAGAGCGACTTTAATGCATATCCCCTCAATGACGTTTGTTGCTATGTTGCTATTGGTTTCAATAAGACGTGCTTTTCCTCCCTAACCGGAAATATCCAATTTTGTGAATTATTCGTTTATGAAACCTGATCTTCCTACCCGGCGAATTTTTATTCAACTATTTCTTCCTCACCGAGCCTGTGTGTGGTACTTCCCGCTGTCTCGAACTACTGCCAAAGCTTCAGGTGCTACTTCTGTAGCAGCACCCTCCTCACTCTTTCAAATATACAGGACTTGTGGGTCTGTTACGTGATTGCTGTGAAACCAAATAACCCGAAAGTTACAGGTAAAGTCCATAGCTTTTACTTAAATACTTTATCCTTCTTTTCTGTGCTCGCTACAATCTTTTGCTGTAAGTCTATTGGACAAAATAACTGTCAATCACGTCTCATAAACCGTCAATGCCCAGCTCTTGCTACGCTCGGGCCCACGCAGTTCCTTGCAGTTTTTCAGAAACGCTTAATAGTAACGGACGCGAAAACCAAAACACCGATTGGCCGCTTGGGAATTCTTTATTGTAACACCAACATATAAAAAATATTTCTATTAAGGTCTGTGAACAAATATTACAATAATAAATCACGAGATTACTTCTGATGGTTTGCTACTGACTTCTTTCTGAACAGCGACCGATGAGACGATGACTGGTGTATTGATGCCTCCGCGAAAATTGGGGAAGTTGATTTTGAGCAAACAACCAAGAATTGATCGTGGCTTCTGCAACTGAATATGCATTTATTTCTAATTCACGTTCAAGTTGTACAGAAACTTTGTTCAACTTAGCAGTAGTAGGCATATCACTCATTTCATCATGATCAACCAAAGACAACTGTGAAGTATTATGATCATTATCACAAATATTCAATTTACCGTCAACTTCATCATTTTCAAACTCTTTGTTAACAGCAGTAGACAATTTTGGTTCCTCCTCGCAAATCATTTAAGGTTTTATATCTTCACTCTGACTAGTAATACCTTGTAAACTTTTGGAGTCAGAACTGCACTCTGAAGCAGTAACTCTATTCTGTGACACTCTATTCAACAATGGCTTACCAGTTGCAACTACAGACTTCTTCACAGCACCGTTATCGTCACACAATTCGGAGTCAGGCCTGGAGTTTACATTTAGCTTATCACTGAACTTGCTCACTGGTTCACAGTTCACCTTTGTACGCACTTCTTGCAAACGTGTGAAACACAACCGTGTTTGTCTTGCATCTTGTAACTTATCTGTTGAGGATGTACTACGAAACCTGTTACACTCACTAAGTTTATATGCATTACTAGACATCATGGAGTCTTCTCGATATCCACCTCTCTGAGGCTTATTCGTCATCAATGAGTGCGTTTTACCCTCAGACTGCTCTATTCTAGGGGTGAGATTCAATATACTGGCGAACATGCTCATCGATTGATTGACACTATCTTTTACCAGTTTCAGGATATCATCAAACTTTGGCTCGATACCCTCATCCTCCATACGGGAGCTCACCTTCACCCACTTCCTTTGCAGTCGAGTGGGTAGACGTCTTGTTATTACTTCTAGTATAAAACTCGAGTTGAGGTCACTCATACGATTCAACGAAATCATTCCATTCTTGTAAATCAGCAGATTATCTAAAACCTCAGTGAGTGCCTGAGAGTCATCCTGTAATTGACCACCATTACCCTTAACAGCCTCGAATAATTTCCCT